GGGGCGCCTGGGTGGCTCAGTCATTAAGTGACTGCCTCCGGCTCAGGTCATGATCCCAGGGTTCTGGGATCGAGCCCCGCATCGGGCTCCCTGCTCAACAGGAAGCCTGCTTCTCCCTCTCCCACTCCCCCTGCTTGTGTTCCCTCTCTCGCTGTGTCTCAAATAAAATCTTAAAAAAAAAAAAAAGATTTATTTGCGAGAGAGAGAGCATACAAGTGGGGCGGGAGGTGGGGGCAGAGGGAGAAGCAGACTCCCTGCTCAGCAGGGAGCCCACAGCGGGACTTGATCCCAGGACGCTGGGATCATGACCTGAGCCGAAGGCAGATACTTAACTGACTGAGTCACTCGGGGGACCCAACAAATCCCCTTATGTTTTATCTGTGATCTTGAATACGAGCAACTCACCAAGAGTAATTGCTTTGTTTTCCCTGAAAAAGTCTGGTGAGATCAAATTGCTTCCTGAAGTGTGTTAATCAACAACTGAGCGCTAGCATAGGTCAGCCCCTTTAGGAGTATCTCACACACCTGCCCCTATTTTGACTGATTTTTGAACAATGAATTTTAAAATTTTGGTGGTGATTATCTAACAGCTCAACTGGGACCTTCCATGGAGCCCCTCTGTGTGCCGTGGAAGAAACAGTAGGATGCAAGAAATGATTTGCTGTCTGGCCATCAGGCTACAAGCATAGTGTCGATGCTGTGCCATTGGTAGAGATGAGTGCAACTACGGACAGCGTCTCTCTGGCCAGCTGGGAAATGAAACAGATTATTATGTAAGCTTAGAAAAAACCAGATGATCAAGGTGCTCATTTGTAGCATCACAGTATGAACCTGAATAATAATTAGGATGACTCCACATTGCTCTTTGGATTCTATCTAATCCCCTTATTCTGGCATTCAAGGCCCAGCTTGATCCATCATCAACCCTAATTCCATAGTTATGTATCGTTACTTTTAAGTCTTTAATGTGGATACTGTTCTCAGTGTTTCCTGGGCCTTTGCTATTCCTCTTGCCTAGAATGACTTCTTTCCCTCTTTCATGGATCTAAATCCAAACCATGTTTTTAAATCCCACGCCCTTACTTTGCTGTTGTGCCATTCATCATGCAGGCCTGGTTGTCCTGATGATTTCCAGTCCTTAGTGATTTCTTGTCCCTTCTTGACTCTCCTCACCAATAAATAGCGATCAGTTGACACCGATATATATATATCACATATATATATATATATGGTCATTTATTGTTTTCTGTTACTTTTTTGGGCTTTATTTTCTCAAGTTATAAGCCTTCTAAGGCAGGAATTTTATACTCTTACTTCTGTTTCCTTTATATACATAGTAAATGCTAAATAAATGCATATTGAACAGAATCAAATAGGGAGCACTTAAGATGAGCTGGTAGGAGACAGAGATAAATTTTAAGAGAGGAATCCATTTTATGTCACTTTTCTAATTCCTGGTAGGCATCTTTCTCTCTACGCTAGCTTTTATGTATTTAGCAGTATGCGGTAGACCCTCTTCATTCCCAGATTTAGCATTTCCCATTTTGAAGCTGCATAACACGAGTAATGTGAAGTTAGGCTGATTTACAGATTTTAATTGTGTGTGTGTGTGTGTGTGTGTGTGTGAGAGAGAGAGAGAGAGAGAGAGAACATGGTGTACAGGATCCAGTCATTTAGCGTGTGTGTGTGAGAGAGAGAGAGAGAGAGAGAGAACATGGTGTACAGGATCCAGTCATTTAGCGTGTGTGTGTGTGTGTGAGAGAGAGAGAGAGAGAACATGGTGTACAGGATCCAGTCATTTAGCATGTGAGGCACACACCAGACCACCCAGCATCTGCATCTCATTGTGGCTTCATCATCCTCCACTCATTGCTCTTTTGAATGTAGACTCTGCTACATTCTGTGGTTGAAAGTGTATATTACGGTGATACCTGTGAATTGAGAGAGTCAGGGAGACGCTGATTATGTATTTCTTGTAAATTTCAAAGATCTATGCACTGTGTAACTAATTACGCCCTATTTGACACGACATTGAAATGCAGATTAAAAACTGTCCTGCTTTTTTGTGCGAAAGCACAATCCCCAGGCCTCCAGAGCTGTGAGTAGAGAGTAATTCATAGTACATCCCTCACACTAGAGGTGATTGTGAAGAGTATCCACAGTAGAGGTGCAGTTTTAACGTACTGTCCTTCGTGAATGGTGTCTATCACGTTGACAGTTCTCTTAATATTCTAATCAGATTTTTGTCTTGATCTTTCTCAGGTACTGGTATCTCGGGCCTCTAAAAACCAAAGCAGCTCACTTCTTCAGCACTCTTAAGGTAAATGCAATTTCCAGTGTAGAAATTTCCCATGTTATTTTGTTGTTACTCTATGATGTGTGGATTTGGATTTTTAAAAATTCCCTGCTACAGATACATCTGACATGTTCCAAATGGGGGATATTTACTTAGATACGAATGCAGGAAGCATTCCTGTTGGATAAGCCATCACTCCTCATCTACCAGCTCATTCCCTCCCTTACTAAACTCATACTTAATTTCTCTTTGATATTCTACTTCCCTTTGCTTACTTATTCACTCACTCTTGCCAGACAAACCTGGAGCAGAATGACCTATATCTTATCCATTATTTGTAAGGGTATCTACATTAGTATCTGGAAATGAATTGAAGATTTGCATCCGAAAGTATGTAATTGAACAGACTTGTGTATAATAGAGTAGGTTTCAAACTGTGCTAGCAAAATATGGGTAGTGGTTACTGTCTTAGACCGTACAAGTAGAGACTATTTCCAACGTCAGAGAACATTCCATCGGGCACTGCTATGATAGCCTGTCCACTGAAAAATGTTGGCATAGAGAAAAGCTGGACAGTGTGTATTGATGAAAATGCTAATAGCAAAGTCATCCTTACCTGTGGATAACATCCCGTGTTCAGCTTTTATGCAAATCAAAGCAGTGTATTCAAAAGTTGGCAGGTCAATCTGAAAATTGGCTTACGAAGCTTGTAGTGAAAATATTGGTTCTAATGTTAATATTCAGAGCATCAAGTGTTTTTCTAATTATAAAAGTGATGTATGTCCATTACATAACATTTGGAAAACAGGTCCCTTCACCTTCTAAATAAATTCTTGTTGTGTTAAAGAAATGTAAAAAAACTCTTAAGTACTGGAGGTAGCTGATTAACATGATTATAAACATGAACTTGGAGGGCAATGCCTTTCTACACTGAAGGCAGACCGTTTTAGTAAAATGCATTGTTACTCTTGCTTAAGGGAGTAATTTCAGTGGTGGAGTGGGGGTGCAGTTAGGGAGAGTAGAGTAGCTGCGTATTTAAGTTGTCAAGTCAGGGAGAATGTAACCTCTTTCCAGCATTTCTTCAGCAGTTATTAAATATCTAGTGTGGCCAGTCCTGCTATCTGCTTGGAATACAAAGTCAAGTAAGGCAGGTTTCCTGCCCTCAAGGAGGATGCACGTTTGGGGAGTGTGAGGGACCAGTAAATCAGGGGTCTGGCAAGTTCTGGGAGAGCGTATGGAAAGATAAGGTGGGAGCAGACTGGGGGGCAGGGGCATTCATATCTGGCTCAGGGGCAGCAACCTTCCCAGGGCAGGGAACACTTGTACTCAAGTTTGAGTCTACACAGGACTAGATAAAGGGCATTCCAGGTGGAGGAGCCGGGACATGTGAAGTGGTCGTGATGTCACGTGGCCATGGCTGGGGGCAACAAAAGGGCAGGAAGGGAGGGTTGGAGGGGAGGGGAGGAGGGGAGGGGAGGACGTGGCAGGTTGGGATGCTGCGGCTGACTTTCACCATGAAAGCGCTGGGGAGTTACTGAGTCTTAAGCATGGGAGAGACATGAGCGGATCTGCGTTTTAGAAAAGTTATTTGTCACCAGTGTAGACAAGTGACTGCATGTGGATGGTTAAGACAAGAGTACCAGATAGAAGATGGTTCAAGTAAGCCAGGTGAGAAGTGATGAGGTCCGGACTAGTTTGCTAACTAGAGTTTTCCCTGAACGCTGACAATATTAGAGTAGGATCACCTGTGTGAACATGAAATTTTCCGTTTGGCATATGGCGCAGACAGGCCAGGGATAGCCCCGAAGAATGGAAGCATGGGAAGAGCCGCAGAGCCGCCCATGAAGCCCTGAGGGGAAGGGGAGGGCCCCGTGAGTCCCCCTGAGAGAGACACTCTAGCCAGTGGGCGCCAGAGCGTCAAGAAGCGGCAGCACAGAGTCGGAATCAGGACGGGAAAGTGCCCGCTGACCTCGGCAGCCTCTGAAGGTTTGCTCAGCTCTTAAGTGGAGGGGCTGAGCCCCATCAACGAGAGTTAGGGGATAAAGGGAGATAAAGATGCACAGACAGCAGGGCTGGGCCGCTCCTTCAAGAGGCCTGACTTTGAAGGGAAGGAGATAGAAAAGGCAAAAGCTAGTGAGAAATATGGGGCCAGCAGAGTGTTGTTTTTATTGATTGGAGAGAGAGCCATGTCTTTCTACCCTGAAAACAAAAGACAAGAAGAAAGGGAAGAGGTGAGAGACAAGGAGAGGCAGAGCCAGGCTGAGTCAGCAAAACCCACGTGCAGGTCGGAGGGCGCGGGGCCCACGGTGCCCGGTCAGCCCTGGACAGAGGAAGGGATGCCTTTTTCCTTGAGAAGGAGAGAACTAGAGCAGAGGTCCAGGTACAAACAAATTTATAGAGCGTTAGGCAGTTCTCACTGAAGTGAGATGGTCTCACTGAAGTGTGGGAAGCAAGGTGATCTGTTGAAAATGAAGTGGGTGGTAGTGATGGGATTTTGAAGAGAGATGAAAATAGGGAGGTGTGGAAGGATTATCGAGTGGCATTGAGGACCCGAGACCAAGAATTTGAAGTTGGCACAGGTGTACTTACCCGGATTGCCCTTCTACTAACATGGAGCCACGATGTGCAAGTACAGAAACCTAGTGACAGGATTGATCCAGAATAGGGGCTTTTCGGGGCACATATGATGTAACACCAAAGACACAGCAGGACCAGCAGTGATGGGAAAAGAGTGACTTAAAGTTATCAGCTGTTAATTAGGCACTGAGGGAAAATGGTTTAGTCAGGGACTGGAATTCTCAATGGGATTGGAAATTTGGTGTGGGATTGGATCTTCAGGGGCCAAAAAAAAACAACACCCCTCTCTTCCTCTTCTGAGTTTGAACCAAGTTATGAAAACAAATGCAGGAACCAGGCAGATGGAGATCAAAATACCAGCTTTATAAATGTCAGCAGGAGTAAAGGACACAGCTTAGATAATGCGGTCACAATCAGATTTCCAAATATTCCAAATTGAATTCATCCCCTTAAAACATCTCCTTCAGGGCAGACACTGCCATAGGAAGCCGACTGCATGATGAAGCAGTGAGTCCCCAGGACAGCCACTTTCATGGGGGGGGGAGAGAGAGAGAGAGAGAAGAGCCAGAATTGTTATTCCTTTGTAATTTACCACATGGAAGCCTGAGAACAGGGGAGTGGGTCACCCTGAGAGACATACTGGGCACAAAAGAATCAGTCAAAAAAAAAAACAAACCACAAAACAGAAGAATATGGGATGTGGTTAGAGAGTAGGATATCAAGGTTTTAGATTTCTAGGATGAAATAGTTCTGGGTAACAGGAAGGACCAGGATGTGGCCATGGAAATGGGTGGCTGGGGGCTGAGTGAGTAGGGGGGTGTTTTAACTATTCCTGTGGACACTGATGAGCCTGGACTGGGCTGTCAGGAAGTAAAAGACAACCTAGAGTCTGAGTTCATGGTTGTCAAGATCGGCCTTCAGTAGGAAAAGAAAGCTTGAGGATTCCAAGCTCCAGAGTAGAGCTCATGCCATTCAGTGAGATTACTGACTCGCCTTCTGGCAGGCATGGGTCGCTCACTAACCTCTGCAGAGCTCCTCCCGGGGTTTGGCCTTGGGTGTGCCTGACAAGTTTTCTCTCTTCACGTTGAAAGGAGTGGCCTCAGACACATCAAGCGTCTATCTCGTACACGGGACCTACGGAGAGACCTCCCAGGGCAGCAGACGAGACCCCTCCGCGGCCATCTTTGTACAGGAGAATATTACGCAGGCTCGCGTCATACTGGGCACAGCCGCAGGACGGTGAGCCGCATGCTGGCTGCAGAGGCCTGGCCGGTGCAGGGCTGCCTAAAGCGGCCCCCACGTCAGTGTGAGCCGCTTGCCTGGTGCAGGAGAAGCCTTTCAAGGGCCCCTGTGCCACACACAGCAGGACCCAAACCTGCGCTGTCCCATGCATGCGTCCTTGGTGACAGACCATGACTGACTTTTATGTTTCTGTGGCTGCTCTGGTAGGGATGTTTCGGGTATAGAGACTGCATTTTGAGCCTGGCTCTTCGTCCTGGGTGTAAGAAACTATGAAATAAATAAAACTGAGGTGGAGAGTCCGCGGGCAGGCCTGGGTCCGGGCCAAGCTGAGTGCCAGCAGCTCGCCGTTGGTGCGGGAGTGATGAAACGTTAGCGGGATACACTGACCTGAATCTAATCCCCCACACAGCCCTCTCCCAAGAGGCGAGCCCCGAGGCCTGGAAGGAAGTGCAGCTGTCCACCATCGAACTGTCCATCACGACGCGGAACAGTCAGCTTGACCTGACGGTGAGCGTGCCCTTTTACTAGCCAAGCCTTTGCTGTGGGACTACATGCTCTTCCGCTAATTGGGTATTTTTCTGTTTACCCTTTTGGGGGAGAGAGGAAAGGATCAGGGAAAAGAGGGTGTGGTGTGGTGTTTAAGGAAGAACAGCGGAGTGAGGCAGTAGCTTCAGGCTGGGCGGGCAGTTCGTGGTAGCAACCAGGCTTTCTGAGAACTGAGGGCAGAAGGCCTTTAGAAATGAAAAGTTAGCCTGCTCCCTTTTGTCTCAGGAATAAAAAATTGTGGAACTTTTACTTGAGTGAATACCCATTATTTTTGTGACTATATTAAGTATATGGATTTAGGTCCCCAGGAGAAAAAAATATATATACACATATACATAGAGTCTGCCCTGCTGACAGGCACGGTCCAGTGTGGTGGCCGCTAGACCCGTGGCTGTTTGAATTAAATAAAATTTAGCATTCATTTCAAGTGCCCATAGGCCATATGTGGCGAGTAGCTGCCGTACTGGAAAGCGCAGATACAGAACGTTTCTGTCAGTGCAGAAAGTTCTGGATGGTGCTCCTATTGACAGGACACCAAAAAAATGTCGAAATAAAAGCAGAGATTGACAAACTGGTCTGCCACCTATTTTTGTTTAGGTGGCACACAAACTAAGAATTGATGTTACATTTTCAAATGGTTGTGAGAAGATGAAAAGAATTTTTTGTGATACACAGAAAGAATACGAAATCCAGGTTTCAATATCCATAAGAAAAGTTTTATTTGGAACAGCCACATTCACCCATATACGTGCTGTCTGTGGCTGATTTCATGTCCTGATGGCAGAGTCGAGTCGTTGCCACAGGCTCTCTGGCCCCAAATCCCCAAATACCGACTCCCTGGCCGTCTAGAGTTTTCTGATCCCTGCCGTAGAAAAAACCTGAGTAGTTTGTATGAGCAAGAATGTGAATAGAAAAGTTACCCTGTCCTGTGGACCCATCCAGGTCGTCTGTGCACAGTTGACCTGGTCCGTCTGGAAACTGCATGTGGACTTGAACGTGGTGATGAACGTACGCATGCAGCCCGGAGTTCGACTCTGACATTAGTAGAGTAGTGAGTTGTTTTCTAATTAGAAAAGTAACATATGTCCATTGTATAACATGTGGGTAACACAGCTCCCTTCACCTTCTAAGTTCTAGTTGGGTTGAAGAGTTAAATTAGGAAAATCATGAAGCACTAGAGTGAAATCGAGGTGATTATCAATATAAACTAAGGGGAGGACCAGGCCTTTCTAAGCATGGTGTCTAAGGCAAAAATCATATTGATGCATTTGTCTACTTACGATTAAAGAAACTATAAACAAAATTTTTAAGGACAGATTGGGAAAAAGAATGTGATACAGCAGGAGTTAATAGCTTTCCTTACAACAGACTCTTAAGAAATAGACAGAGGACTCCTATAAGTAACAGGCACGACAAGAACAGAAATTCACAAAGGAAATAAACATGGAAAAATAGTACATATTCAGCAAATAGAAGCTATCTGCCAGCCACTGCCCTGAGAATTTTACATACTTTTATATGCATGTAATAGGTCAGGAACCAGAAAAAGTGCTCACATCAAAGAAATGCAAATTAAAATAACAACGAAATGTCCTAAATTAAGCATGCTAGGGTGTGCCGTGTTAGTGTGGGTGGGAAATGGGTGCTAATGCATTTCTGCTGGAACTGTAAATCAGAACACCCTTTCTTGATGGTGTCTTGCTGGTCTCTCTGAAGCATCTAAAACAGACTTAATAGGGCCCAGGGTGTGCTTCTATTTCTAGGAATTTCTCCTACAGGAATAATCAGATGCATACACATACATAGTGTAGCCATTCCCTTATTTCTTACATGATGGAATTCTGCAAACACTGGTGAAAATGTATTAAGGTTGAAAAAAATAGATTATATTCCAGAGGAATTTCAAAAAGAAAGATGAAATTTCTAATTATACATTGCTTTTATACCCCATCTCTGATAATAGGTATTTCTAGTGTTTTGTTCTTGTTCTTTTTACATTGTTCTTTTCTCTGATGACGGAATACCAATGAATGGATGGAGTTCGGTTGAGGGTGTGATTGTGGCCCCAGATTAGCCACATGCAGAGTGCCGAGTGCTTTTGATCTCAGTGCCAATTATGAGAGTGTAAGATTCTGTGCCGCTTATCACAAGGAGCAGTACATTCATTTTCTGTTTCCACACCTCTTCGTAAAAATAAAAGCAAATGCAAGAAAATATTCAAAGACAATGAAGCTGCCATGTGATAGCTCCAAACTCATTTATCATTTAAAAAAGTACATTCAGAGTCAAAGAGGCTTTAAGGGGTGTGCAATGTGTGGAAATTAGGATCTCTTGTACAGCTCTGTTCTCTGTATTTATAATAGCAAAATATGTGAAACAAATGAACCAGGGGACTGATTAAATCCATTCTGGTACATTTATTTAAGGTGTTCTCTGTTTACTGACACGGAAAGATATTCATCATATATTGTTAAATGAAAAACCAGGCTGCTGTGATATACATCACATGATTCTATTTTTACTTTAAAGAGAAACACTTTCACCTATAATTGAGTTTTGCGAATGATGGAGGTAAGGCTTATAATCTTTGCCCATAGAAAGCCAGTTGTCCAAGCACCGTTTACTGAACATACTCTTCCTCCCCCTCCCCCATCTGCAGTAAGCCCCTCTTATGCTGTGAGAGCAGGTGTACACGGGCGTGTTTGTAGGTTCTCTCTTCAGTTGCTTTGTTCGTCTAAACCTGTTACTACTACGCTTTTGATTATCATTGTTTTATAGTAAGTCCCTCTATGTTTTTCTTCTTAAAGAGTTTCTTGACTACTTTTGGCTCTTTGGCCTCTATAAATCCCTTAAAAGGTTTCTTTTATTAAGTTCCACATAAAAATATGTTATATTGATCACGGGATTACACTGAACTTGTAGATCAATTTGAGGAAAAATGATACTTGTCTAATATTGACTCTTCTGTTACGTGAACGTGGCATGGCTCTTCATTAGGCTGGGAATGCCTTTTAGTGAGGTTTTATAGTTCTAATATTTTGCCTTTTGCTGGATATATTCTTGGTTATCTTAATTTTTGATGCTACTGTAGATAGTATCCTTAAAATTTCGTTTTTAAATATTTGATTTAGATGGACATGTAATTGACTTTTTTTATACTGAATCAGCAACCTTATAACTAAATTCTTACTAAGTTTATTTTATGGATTCCTTTGGATTTTGTATAGATTCAATCATATCAACTGCAAATAGTGCAAGTTTTGTTTTTCCTTTCAAATACTTAGCCTTCTGATCTTTTCTCTCACCTTACTACCTTGGCCGGGACCTCACTACAGTGTTCAGTAGACGTAGTGATAGCAGGCGTCGTTGTCGGACTTCTGATGTAGACAGAGAGGTTTCATTGTGGGATGCCTCGGTGGCTCAGTCGGTTAAGCAGAGTCCTGGAATCAAGTCCCACATCGGGCTCCTTGCTCAGCGGGAACCTGCCACTCCCCCTGCTTGTGCTGTCTCTGACAAATAAATAAAATCTTCAAAAAAAAAAAAAATGTCACCCCTACCACCCACACCATCTGATGTTTCTGTATTCTTTTCTCTCATTTTTCTAATGAACTCTCATATACTTCTACTAATATACTTATTTTCTAATATATTTCGTAATTTACCATTTCTCTCTCTCTCTAATTTACTGTTTTTGTACTGATACATTCTAACATGCTTCGAATATATTCTATAACTCATTATTATGGTTAGATTTTATTTTATATATTTATTTTTGTTTATTCCCTCCACTCTTCCCAGTAGAAGATAAATTCTTTGTAAGCAGAAATACTCAGTTTTTTAGTTCATTGATGTAACCCAAGCACCTGGAAGAGTTTATGGTAGTTGACACTCAGTAAGTTGCTGCATAAAAGGTGAACTTAGAGCCAAGTCATCCCCTGTATGTTCTGTAATTCCAGGCTGAGAGAGCGAGCTGCGTTTTGGTAGTGCTCTTTACTCTTTGGCAAAGGCTGTCCACTCTCAGCAGCTCATGGATTATCCTGGGGCTACAGATTTTTGAACCTGTCCAAAAAGAAACAGTACCTGTATTTGAAGCAGTCACAGAAGTATTGGTTCTGATTTATAGAGAGCCAGGTTTGTACTGTTAGCCACTAACTGGTAGTAAACTGGGGGGAGTGCTCCAAGGACCCGGTCTGGTTTTACAGCCACTTCCTTGTAGCTCAGTTCTTCTAGAGCTTTTGGTGGACGGTAATGAGAAGTTTTTAAAATTTACTGTGGCAGAAATGGATTGCTGCTCTTCAACTCGGGTTGCATATCAAAACTGCACGTAGAACATTTGAAAACACATACTTGGGGGGCACCTGGGTGACTCCGTCTGTTAAGCGTCTGACTCGTGGTTTCAGCTCAGGTCTTGATCTCGTGGGTTGTGAGATCGAGCCCCCCGAGTCAGGCTCTGTGCTCAGCAGGGACTCTGCTTGAAGATTCTCTTCCCCTGCCCCTCTCCTCACTTGCGCTCACTCTCTCTCTCTCAAGTAAATAAATCTTTAACCAAACAAACCAACAAACCCGCACATACTTGGGCTCTGCATACCAAGAAGCTGATCCAGCAGGTGTGGTGTGATGCTGACGCACAGTGAGGATGGAGGCTGGCTGGGGTAGACGGGCTGGAACTTGACCCCCGGGGAGGGAGCCCCAGAGACCACAGCAGCTGTGACGAGTAGTGTCGGGGCTTCGCAAACCTCCTACTCCGAGTTCCGACAAACCTGAGTTTTTGTTTAGCTTATCTGGGTAGTAAAAACCAACCAAACAGGGGCACGTGGGTGGCTCAGTCATTAAGCGTCTGCCTTCGGCTCAGGTCATGATCCCAGGGTCCTGGGATAGAGCCCCGCATCGGGCTCCCTGCTCAGTGGGAAGCCTGCTTCTCCCTCTCCCACTCCCCGTGCTTGTGTTCCTGCTCTCGCTATGTCTGTCTCTGTCAAATAAATAAAATCTTAAAAAAAAAAAACAAAAAAAACCCAACCAAACAAGCAAGCAGTGATGAGGTGATGAGTTTTATGGTATGTAAATTATACTTCAGTAGGGTCTTAATGTAAAAAAGAAAGAAATATATTCAAGATTAAGTTACTAAAAGTAAAGGTCTCTGTATAATAAACAGCTTTAAAATATGAACCTCTGAGGCTAAAGGAGGACAACAGGCTGCATTAGCCAAAATGTAGAGTATTAGTGTTAGTCTTTTTGACCTTGCAGAGTAAAGAAGACTTTATGAACATCTGCATTGAACCCGACACTGTCAGCAAAGGAGACTTCATAACTATAGGGTAAGTGGGCTGGGGTTTGTAGGAAATGCGGGTTAAGTAGTTCATATTCTAGCATCTACTATTCCGGATCCCCATGAAGTCTAAGATAGAGCGCAATGGAGGACTTCTGTGGTTTGGGGACTGTGTAGCCTCTTTCTTTCAAGTGTTTGGGTTGACACGTAAAATGTACCTCTCCTCCTACTTTGGCTTTTCCTGTTCGTTTTGGAAAAAACCCGAGTGTGGGGGCAAGCTGCCTTTCCAGTGAGAATAAGGATTCATGGGCGCCTGGCCCAGTGTCCAGAACTCTGGCTTCAGGGTCACAGTTGCTGGCTACAGATCTCGGTTCTGCCATGTTCTGGCCTCACGACTTGGACAGATCCTTTAACGTCTCTGGATCCTTTTCTCTGTGTATGGAACGGAATACTGTAATCACATCTAACTACCTCAGGATTGTTTTTGAGTCTCAAATGAGAGGATGTGTGGCAAAGTGTTTTTCGCGGTGAAGCACTTCACTGTTTCGGTTACTGCTCACATCAGACCACCTTGCCCCACTTGCAGGGCAGTAATGGAAAACCTGAAAAGGTATGGAGTACTTCGCACAATCTCCAGGCTTTTCCCTCTTCCACTAGAAAATATCCTCCAGTCCAGTCTGATTTGTTAAGCCCGACCTCTGCCGGAGTTTTATTGGTTAAGAATGCTCTAACCCCCCCACCCAGCTTCAGCACATCCTAGGAGCCCACGTGTTGCCATGCCAACTGGTAATCTGCTCAGCCAAGGTTGTTTGGTGCTTTGTCTCAGAGCTCCCTCTTGTGCCCACGTAGGGAGCAGACATTTCTGCTGTAGCCCCGCGGTCTCCATGGCTACTCCGTCATCTGCACTGCACGGGCAGCAGAACGTCTTTCACTGGTTTGCGCTGATCTTGCCTTTGGTACAAATTCATCAGATGCTGAATAGCTGATTCTGCAGCCTTTGATTTCCTTGCTGTATCTGTAGTAGAAGGAAGAAAGGGAAAGCCTTTCCTTTCTCGAGAGTGGCCAGAAGTCTCACACTGTCTTAATTGAGAGTCTGGCCCACGGGGCCAGCTGTACTCAAATTTCCTTCATAATACTGACATCCAAAAATAGAAAGAAAAACCAATTATGTTGCCTAATGTAGGTGAGTCATTATGTTCTGCATCACTGCTGTCATCTTCAGCAGCAGGAACACGGTTACCTTTGGTCTCTGCAGGAAGTGAGATTAAGTAATGTCTGTTTCCTCTGGGTACTGGAATAGAACATTGTGAGGTTGCTCTAGAAAACTCTGAAGCTTCATATACTAAAGAATTAACGTTATCATTTAATGCTAAAGAATGGACTAATTTACTTGGATTAGCTTTTACTCTTTCCACTGACCACGACTGGCTCCCAAGGATATATGTGCATGAGGAGTGTGTGTGTGTAGGCTGATAGTTTTACTCCAAGGTAAAGACAGTAGTATGCTAAGCAGACTGTTAATATGAATATAGAAAATCAGAAAGAACTGGTTGTTTATATGTAATATGTAAAAGAAATGTCTGCTTTAGAATAAAAAATGTTTTCTCGTTCAAGTAATGATAGACTCACAAGTACCAAATAACACAAGTTTAGTACTTTCCCTAAAAAAATTTTCATTCTAATTTTTAAAAGGATTTTTAATAGCCCATGAATTAGGTACAAAATCACTCGGTCTTAACTTCACACACAGTTCTCTACAGCAAGTTAACCTTCTCAATCTAGAATATATCACACTGCTGAGCAAGAATCATTGTGGGAAAGTTATTCACAAAACCCAAGGTTCAGCAGAGCATGAGTCCGTCTGTTTAAGCTCAACAAAAGAACTGGCTGTGCTCTCGTGATTGGACTGCAGTTGCCCGCCCTGGTGCCCAAACGTGCTTTTTCCTACACCGACAGAAGCAGAAAGGTGAGGGACCCCAAGCTGCGTGTGGCCGGCACCGAGTGTCTCCAGGCCAGCCAGTGCACTCTGCTGCTTCCTGAGGTAAGTGGGGCTCCCGTCCCACAGCTTCGGGTTCATTCTTGGTCCGTCTTCCTTTCTGTGAACAGACCCTCATGTCTAGGCGCCTGGTATGGGCTGAGCACTTGGCCAGGCTCTGGGTGATGTTCAGGGATACTTGAAGAGATGAGAGGATCCCCTTCTGAGTCCGGGGCTGAGCAGGGGACTCCTGAAGATTTCCAGCATTTGTAAGCCACAGTTCTATAATGTGATCTTTACATCTCCTGAGCCTTTATTTTTCTGAATGGACATTGTGCAGAGGTTACTGTGTTGTAAGACACAGAGAATTCTCTAGTTGGCAGATACTCATCATGGATCCTACTTTTCTTTTTCTTTAAACACAGGATCTGGAAACCGTTTTTGGGATGGCACTGAGTTTTCCTGTAGTATAAAATGCCAAGCTTAGAATAACCTATATAAGAGAGGAAAACGTTAGGAATATAATCTAAATTCTATAGTTATTCTAGGAGTCATGCCTCAGGAGAAAGTTACCACAGATGGCCTCTGCAGACTCCGGACCGTTACCCTACGGTATTCAGAAAGGACTGTAGTAAAACAGACGCTATCCCCCAGAGTGGGTGGCCCTGTAGTTTCAGCATAGCAAATGTTGAACTAAATGCATGAATTATGGAAGGTTTTATAGAATCTGTAACATTAATGCTGCTGTACTTGAGGGATAAAGCTAATAAGTCCTCAAGAAGAACCATGAAACTAATCCAGTGGGCATCACAGCTTTCCTAAGATGAGGGCCGACAAGGTCCTAGAACATTGTATGTTAACGAATTCCTGGAAGGTGCGGCAGGACCCCTGTATCCTAGTAAGTATTTTTAAATTATGGCCTTGTTTCTCAAATCCCAAAATACTCTGGGAGGCAATAGAAGCCCCCCTCCACCCCCCAAGACAAAAAGCAGATAGCAGAATTGGGAGATTTCCAGAAGCAGCCCCGTGCCCGTCTCCGTCCTCGGAGAGGATGCTGTGCTCCGTGGTGAGCGGCTCCTGGTGCAGAGGTGCTAGACCCTCCTCTCCTCTTCTCCACAGGGAACGGGGGGCTCCTTCAGCATTGACAGTGAGGAGTACGAGGCCATGCCCGTGGAGGTGAAGCTGCTCCCCAGGAAGCTGCAGTTCTTCTGCGATCCCAGGAAGAGGGGACAGCTGCTGCCCAGCGCGGCCCCGTGAGCCGTCGGGGGAGCCGGCCGCCCCCACGCTGCACTTTAGGCCTCGGATGGGACCACAAGGGAACTGAAGCCTCCCCTGTCCCCGCAGTGTTGTCACAGGACCCCAGGGCACCTCCATGGCAAGTACCCTGCCCTCGCAGTGCTCCCCCCGCCGTCCTCCGAGCCTCCCGCTAGCGCATGCTCAGCCTTGGCTGTGCGCCTTGCTCCCTCCTCCGTGGTGGTTTGCCTCAGGTGCGACCCAGCCCGGAGAGAAGGCGCCCCCCC